CTTTCTTTTTCCGACACAAACTCAATGACAAACACCACATTTTTGAACATTTCCGGGACTTTGAACTTGGCCAGGTTTACTATGATGGTTGTGGCTTGTCCCGTGTCATCAAACTCAACTGCTTTGGGCTTGATTGTCTCATGCACAGCCTCTTGGATGTATTCTTGATATGTTTCAACCACTTCATTTTCTTGAATCCCTTTTCTTGGTGTGCAAGGTTTTTTGAACATTTCAATACCATCGGGAACTTGTTTTGGTGCACCAAGAATTGGGATATCACTTTGCACCTTTGGAAGAGCTTCCACAATGTCTTTTTCACTCTCTTTGATATTTGGAATCAAAAACCTGCAAGGACAAAGGACATTCGGTGGAATAATGTTAGAATGAAGTGAATTTAGAACTTCCTCACCTGAGTTGGATGACATAGGGATTTGAGGAGCTTGCAGCAAGAATTCTTCTAAACTGCCCAGGTCGTCCTCCTCCTCTTCTGCTTGCAGCAGCAATTCATCCATGTTCGGGCTGTGTTTGGATGGTTCTGGGACAGCTTCATCCTTCATGTCACCTTCCAAAGTGATGGCTTCATCGATTTCACTTTCTGCCTTTGAATTTGCAATGTTTGAGTTGGAAAGTTCAGTTTGATCTCGAATCTGTGCCATGAATTCCACAATCTGCCCAACTTGTATATCTAATTCGTCCAATCTTTTGACTCGGTCTTGCATCTCCTGGTTTTGATTTTCTACTCCCTGATTCAAAGAGGTGAGTAACTTATTAAGTGTATCATTATCCAAGGATGTACCTGAATTGAATTGGGTTGATTGTTGTGGTGGGTGTGACGGTTCATATGGCCATTGATAGAACTCTTCCGATGGCGGCAATTGTTCTTCTTTTCGTAAACCCTGCGCCACAGAAATTAGTCCTTCAAGAATTTCATTATAATTCATGGGCATACTTTGATTTGATTGGAATTGTTGTGGGGAATGTTGTGGTGGCTGCATAGGTCTTGAATAGAACTCGTCTTGCTGCCAATATCCACCTTGTTGAAATTGTTGAGGTTCATCCCATATATAATCTGAATTACCTCTCCAATCTGAATTGTAAGCGTTGGAAAATATGTTGCCCCTTGATTGGTTATGGCCTTGATATCCCCAAACATCTTTATTTGCAGAAAATTGAGGACTTTGATATCCTTGCCCATAGGGCACATCAAGTGTAGGGACACTTGACATTGTGGTCCGTTCGGCATTATGAGTCAATTGAGCAGTGAGCTGTGCCAATTGAGCTTGAATGGTTGCAAGTGCCATGTCTTGCTCCATTTGTACCTAAAATCAAGGAAAGAAAAATAAATCAAATATCAAAAGTAAAATACACAAACACCAATATAAACATAAACAAAAACAAAAATAAAGGGATTAGCAAAGTTGCTAATCCCCGGCAACGGCGCCAAAATTTGATGCGTAAAATTACTTGACACACAAATTAAACCCTCTTTTTGACAATTGTAGTATATGTATAAGTAGGGATCGTTCTGGACCGGGGATTAGGAGGGCTTGCTAATAACCTCTCACTTGACTCAAAAATATAAGAAGAAACTTAAAAACACAAAAGTAGGCTTTAAAACACTAAACTAGACTCAAAGAGTTCAAAACAAACTTAAACACACTTCAATACAAGAAAATAAATGGGGGGTATTGGTTTTGGTTGTGATTGAGATAAAAAGTAAAACTAAATATATGGTTGATGGATTAGCTAGAGATCCATTCTTCACACATGACACACTTGTACATGAATTGATTTCCAATTGCTTTTCAATAGATTATGAAACTCAACACCCCAGATTAACCGTGATGCACTAATTAATCCTCAGATTTTCCTTGATTTATTGAATTGGATGAATGCATACGACAATCCAAAATATTCTCCAAAAGTCATCTACATGAATGCATAATAGAGATACAATCAAAGATCATTACGTTCTATGAAAATCATAAGTGTTAACGAGGCATTCGTAACTATGAATGCATGATACGTTTGCCAAGAATTTCAATTAACGCGATTGTGACTAGCAACCTTCACTACCAATGAATATAAAACTTGTAACGATTAGGTGAAACTCATTTATATCCTAGCATCAAATTCATGCATGAAAACTAAATATGCATCCTTAATCAACATACAAGAATTAGTTTTGAAGAAAGTAGTTAATTGAATTGCATTCACAACTTATTAAATCACAATTGGAAGAAATCAATTTAAATCTCAAGCATGTTCATGGCTTCAAACTTCCCCCTAACTAAATAGGGGTTTAGCCACTCATACTTACAAAGCAAAGATAAACAAATTTAAACATTGAAAACAAAAGAAAGAAAACACCTAAAAACGCTCCAACAATCCAATTTGAATGGCAAGCACGTCCAAGATCCTTCTTCTTCTCTTTGTAGCGGCACAAGGTGTGGTTTGATGGATGAGTGGTAAATTATGGTGGTGGATGGATATAGGTGGGTTATGGTGAAGGGTGGATGGGTGGATTGTGTTCTCTTTGGTTTTCTTCCCTTGTTATGGTGAAGGGTGGATGTATTTATAGGCTAGGGAGAGGACCACTCCATTTCCTTTGCATGTGAGCTTGTGTGGGTGTGTGTTGGCATGTTTCCTCTTTACATTTACACACACATGCTTCATCATTTCAACCACAAATCAACCCATTTTATGCCCATGTGTGTGTGTTTCCTTTGCCCATGTGTGTGTGTTTTTCCTTGCATTTGTACACACATGTTCTTCATTATTTCAGCCAACAATCCACCCATTTTCTGCCCATGTCAAACCGTCCATGCCTTGCCTTTCTCTTTGTGTATGTGCTGTCCACGTTTCTGAACCTTTCAGTGTTACAATGCCCATAACTTCTTCTAGAAAAATGATATTAACAATCCGTAAATTGCTCCAGAAAGTAGACATCCGTAGCTTTCCACGAATATAAGGCTCATTTTCTAATTCATTCTGAGCTGTTCGTAACATGCTTCCAAAGTCAGCTAATCTGCACAGGCAGTTTTGACGAATTTGTTGGTTGTCCATGTTTCTCTTTTGCACATGCCTTTCTTGCTGTTTTCTTCTTTGCATGTGTGTGTTGTCATCTTTGTTTCTCCTTTGCACATGACATGTGCTGTCCATGTTTAGATCCCCTTTGCATTTACACACACATGCTTCATCATTTCAATCACAAAACACACACAATTCCTTCACCTTTGCCATGAGTTTTGTCTTCACTTTGCATGTGGGCTTCTTTGCATGTGGTTTCTCCCTCTCTTGCCTTGAGTTTGCATGTGGGCTTCTTTGCATGTGTTTATCCTTGCAATTACACACACACACTTGCACACACAAAAGCCCAAAACGTCCATCCTCATGTCTCCATGTTTGCACCATCCAATCTTAGCCCAAAAATGCTCCAAAATGCTCCAAAATGCATCTTCTTGCATCCTTGGCCCATAGAACCTACAAACACACAAAAATGGCTTAAACTACTAACATAACTAAGAACTAAGAACATAAATGCACGAAAACAAACATACTAAGTCGCATAAATATGCTCCTATCAATAACTCATCCTTTTATTCTAGTAGGTGGTTCTACTAGAGATTGGTTTGAATTCCTTCATTTTCTGTTATATCTTGCTTCCGTGTCGCACTTTTGGTTACGTCACGCTCACATGACGGCCAGCACGCCTTGATCCTCTAGGTCGGGGTGTGTCATAACAAATCCATCCTAATAGAATCGAAAAACCAACAAAATGGGTACTGACCTAGGGGTTTTAAACACAAGAAATTTGCACAGATGATGATTTGGCTGAGAAAAATGAGAAAGATGAGAAGATCGGAGAAAAAGAGAGCTTGAGAGAGAAAGAAAGGCAGGCGGAAAAACCATGAAAATGAGGAGAGAGAGAGAGAGAGAGATGTGAAGGATGAGATATGAGAGAGGGGGGGGGAACAGATGGGAGAGGCAGAGAGTAGTGAGGATGAGAGAGAGTGACAGTGTTGGGAGATGGGGGAGTCTGAGTGCGGTAGAGAGAAGGGAGGGTTGAGTGAATTAGGCGTGGGAGGGAGGGGAGAGGAATTAGTCAGATGGATTGAATGGGTGATAGAAACAAAGGAAAATTCTAGAGATCCAGCTGGAGGGCATGCAAGACCGAAGCAAAAGGAAAACCGGACGCGTGGGAAGGCAGTGCAAAAGAAGAAAGGCAACGGGCAATCTGGCATAAAACAGGGGCAAACACGTGGGGTAGAAGATCACTAAACTGGCTCCTCACAATTTTTAATAATCTTCATACGTCTAAATTTTTTATATTTTTTTATTGTTTGTTGTGCCATAAATCATAATTTCCATTTTTAAAATATTTTTTGATCTTGGCACCCATGCGTTCAATTTCTTTATAATTGTTTATTGTTTGCTGCTCCACAAATGAAGAACGGAAGATAGACGCGAGGCCGGAAGGACAAAACGGGATTTTTACTGTAGCGAAACGTAAATAGTACGGGAAGCAAAGAGGAAACCGAGGACTTTACCGTTCATTCACTGTTCACGAACAGTGAAAAACAGTGCCAGCAAACCCAGTTTTAGTATATGTATAATATAATTTTTTTATTTTTATTGATTCATAAGATTACAAATATATACTAGTAAAGTTATTTGGAGTACAAGAAACACTTGGCAGCACAAGGATTTACATAACCTAGTCCACATAAAACCCATACAGAATCTTCTACACTAACAAGTACTTTAGCACAAACCTAGAGTGAATCGATTTGGCTGTGAGACTCACTTGTAGCCAAATTTTAAACATGCTAAAGAATTCTCTCTTTTTTAATTTTTAAAATTTTAACCACTTAAAGACAAATGTTCTTACTTGAGAGAGGTCCGAGCGGTGCTCAAAAGGGCTCGAGACCTTGAGTTGCTATAATTCTATACTTCTATTCTGATAGAAATATTGTTGTTCAAATGGTAGAAGCGAAAAATAGCAAATTATCATTGAAATGAACTAATTATTTAATTCATAGAGAATACAAGATTCAACCTTCTAATATAACCGATTCCAACCTTAGGTTGTCTAAAACAACTCCCCCATTGGATTATTCCCAACCCCGTCATCCTCCTACAAAGTTAATGACAAATAACAGCAATTTTTTTCCTTGGTTTTTGTTGGTTTTTTTCTTTTTAAGGATGAACACTGGATTCCCATGCTAATGCGCTAGTTGTCTTTCGTCTTGCCACTCACTTAAACAGTGTAGTGTTGTTGAATGGTGTCAATGTCTAGTCCTTTAAGCTTCACCACCGACTCGACGTGCCCCTTGAGTGTGTGAAGCTCCCTCAACCTGGAAAGCAAACAACAAGCACAAGAATGGTAGGAACATAAGATCTATTGAAATATTTCAGTTTGTGTTACCGAAAAGAGGGGAAATACCAGCTTAAGGTTGTATAATTACCTAGCAACTTCAGCTCGCCTCTTGGCCTGTTCAGCGATTTCAGACAACTCTCTGTAGTTGTTCTTGTCATTAAAGAGCTCAGATGTCTCAGGAGGCTGCAGACCGTGGAGGGTTCGCTGAGCGGTAGCCCATTGCGCCTCCCTCTCTCCCTTTCCGTAATCCTTCTTTGTTGTGAAAGCAGTCTGAATACCAATATGAAAGAATCGAACATTTAGGATAAGAGGATGAAAAGATATTGTTTTAAGCATCAGATTTTATCAAACATACCTTTCTCTCAAGTACATTATCCCAGGCCTTGCCGCTCAACACGTATCGAATGATGAACTTGAGAATGTCCAATGGTACGTAGGTGATAAGGCTGTAGAGCCAGATAACTCCTGCCCATCCCCATCCAATGCCATGGATTCTTGCAAAGCCCCAGTTAGCATAAACAGCAATTATGGTAGCAATCTTGATAAAATATAACAGCAAGAGGAAATTAGTAGTTTGCTCTTGAAAATATAAAAGAAAAAATATTGGATATTATCAACAACTGTAAACTTGTCGAAACTTACCAGCTGTGCTATGACAAAGGCTCCCAAGAGAAAGAAACCGGGGCGTTCAACATAAGACCAGCTTCGCGATCGAGTAACAAAGATAAGTGCCTGACTAATAATACTCACTTGAAGGTAGATAGCTGCTGTAAGCTCAGGAAAGTTTCCCCTGATAGATCTTACCCCAAATTTTTCCTACAAGTTTTTTAGTGTAAGTATATTTGCAATAATATTGATCCACAAAAGACTTTAGCTTTAGTTGATTTTAGGAATTTTGCTTACCGTGAAAAAGTCAGAGCCATGAGCCGCCCAGAAGAAAACAACAGTCATGACAGCCATGTAGGTGCCAAGGACTACGCCAGTCGCGAAGATCTCCTTTAGCTTCCATGAGTCTGGAAGAGGAGATGGCTTCACCCTATCTTTAGAAATAGTCATGATTGTTCCGTCATTGAGTATGGCGATAACCAGAACCATGAAAGGCGAGAAATCAAACTTCCAGATGAGAGCAAGGAGCATAAAACCTAGCACAACACGGATTGTTATGGAAACGGCATAAATGGTGTAATTCTTCATCCTCTGGAAGATGGCTCTGCTCGTCAACACAGCACTGATGATCACAGACAACCCTGGTTCTGTCAGGACAATGTCGGATGCGCTGCGAGCTGCATCAGTTGCATCATCCACTGCAATTCCAATGTCTGCCCTCTTTAGAGCTGGGGCATCATTCACACCATCTCCAGTCATCCCACAAATATGCTTCCTGTCTTGCAGCCTCTTGACAATTTCATACTTATGCTCTGCATGGTATCTCATTACTTAGTTTTACTAGACAAAATCTTGGAATTTTCGGAAACAAACTTACTTGCATGAAGGGTTTAGTCTAGTTACCTGGGAAGACACCAGCAAAGCCATCAGCCTTTTCGATAAGCTCATCAATAGGGAGGCTAGCGATCGACTCGTCCTTTGTGTCACCAAGGAGGGAAGAAGAAGGATACATGTTGGTGCCCATGCCAAGTCTGCGGCCGGTCTCCTTGCCAATGGCAAGCTGATCACCAGTGATCATCTTGACATTGACACCGAGATTAAGGGCTCGGCGAATGGTCTCTGCACTGTCATGCCTTGGAGGATCAAAGAGAGGCAAGAGACCCACAAACTCCCATGGTGTTCCAGCACTCTCTTTGTTTTTTTCCGGCACGGTCTAAATAAAAACAATTTATGAAGACATCAACTTCAGTTATAAGAAAGCATCATCATCAAATTATAATTACTAGGAATAAGGCCTAAAACTCACCTGTCTAGCAACAGCAAGGGAGCGAAGGCCGCGATCAGCAAACTTGCCAATGATAGCATGTGCTTTCTTCTCAACATCACCCTTTAGGTTACAAAGCTCAATGATCTGCTCTGGTGCACCTTTGCTAACCCGATGCCAATTCCCTTCAGGGTCGATGTATGTTATGGCGGTACGTTTTTCCACTGGATTAAAGGGCAAGAAATGGACCTCATTTATTCCTTCCCTGGCCTGCAACACAAACAATAGTGCGTACATTAAGATGGTTAAATTAATCATTCACTGTCAAAACACGAAGAAATAGTTTATGCTACAAATGCAAGTACACGAGGGAATTGGACTGGGATATACCTCCTTGGGGTCTCCCAGCATTCCAACGATGCAGGTGTCAATGGCGTCCTGATTCTCAACCCTGGAAGCCCTGGCTCCGAGCAGAATTAGGCCATCCTTGTCCACATCCTTTACAAACACCTGAAAATCAAAATAAATTCCATTAATGACATTTCCTCAAGCAATGGAATAATAGTCTAGGTTCTTGATTTTTTTCTCTTTTTCTCTTTTCTTCACGTCATAAAACAAATTTGATGAATACTACATCAATTGAACGGCCATAATCACCTCAACCATGGTCTTGTCAACTGTAAGCTTGTTAAGAGTAAGAGTTCCAGTCTTATCACTGCAGAGGACATCCATTCCAGCCATCTCCTCAATGGCTGTCATCCTCTTGGTGATGGCACCTTGTGTCGAGAGGCGGTGGGAACCAATTGCCATCGTAACTGACAACACCGTTGGCATAGCAATTGGAATGCCTCCAATGAGAAGCACCAGGAGATTGTCAATTCCATCTCTGTACGCCCGGTGCTGAATTGGATACATGACTATTACCTCAATAACAATTCCCACGCCAATGGAGCATATGCAGAAGTTTCCAATGGCAGTCAAAACCTGGTCAATGCGCAGTGCATATAAGGAAATGAAACACAGAAAAATATTGAAAGGACTAAATGCTCGTACGTGAAGTTAATACTTGTAACTTCAGACAAATCTCTAATACCTTTTGGAAGTGGCCTACTTGGTTGGTGCTATCAACAAGGTGAGCAGCCTTCCCAAAGAAGGTATGAACACCGGTGGCAATTACAACTGCCTCAATCTCACCTTGCTTGACGGTCGAGCCAGAGAAAACTTCATCGCCAGGGTACCTTGTCACGGGCAGAGATTCACCAGTGAGGGCAGATTGATCGATCTTTAGAGGATCTCCGTCCAAGAGACGAGCATCTGCAGGGACAATATCTCCCAACTTAATACTGACCACATCTCCTGGTACCAAGATTGCAGCTTCTAGCTCATTCCATCTTCCATCTCTCAGAACCTACAATCAAACAAGCATATATAAAAATCCCATTTTCATTTTTTTCTATACTTGATGTAACCATTACTAATGGTCACCTTTGTTTTCGGTGCAAGACCCGCCATCAATGCCGCTGCAGCATTTCCTGCATTGTTTTCTTCGATAAAGCTTATGGTAGAGTTGATGATCAAGAGAGCAGTAATTCCCACAAAGTCCTGCCAGTCTGGTGGTCTTCCCTGCATGGTTCATTAGAATCATGAAAATATGAGAGAGAGAGAGAGAGAGAGAGAGAGAGAGAGAGAGAGAGAGAGAGATGGTACCCCTCCATTTGCCAAGGCAATGGCCATGATTGCAGCAGCCTCCATCACCCACGATAGGGGATTCCACATAAAACCCAAAAACTTGAGCACTTTGTTATCCTATTCAATGATTAATCACAAGATTAATTTTCTTCCTTTCAAAACTAACATTAGGGACAAAAGTATACTCGAGTATTTCTTGAAAAGTACCTTCTTTTCTTCGAGCTTGTTTGGCCCGAAGATCTGAAGCCTCTTCTGCCCTTCATCGCTTGACAAACCCTCTTTTGTGCAATTCAATTGTTCGAACACTTCCTGAACTGGAATGCGCTCCTTCAATACATAGGAAGGCAAAGTTAATGACTGATATATCTTAACAACAACTCAATTACTTGGCATAGTCTTCTTCTCATCAATTTTCAGCATTTGCTCAGCCATTAAACAAAGTCCATAGTCTTCTTCTCATCATAATATAATTTTAATCCTCAATATTTATAATTATGATTCCAGGATTATAAAAAAACAAGCATCTAATGATTAATCAACTGCATCTGCTATGAAACCCAAGGTGCAAATAAAAACTTGCAGTCATGCATGCATGCATAATAAAAAAAAAAAATTAAAAAAAAATCAAACCTAAGATCTGTCTCAATTTATCAACTAAATTAGGATAAATGACACAGAATGGATTAAGAGAAACATTTAGCATTTAAGCTGAAAACAAAAAATCAAAGATCTAAACTAGAACACAATAAGAAAAAACCCAAGTGTGGCTACATAAAGATTCAAAATCTGCATGGTCACAACATGAACATGTACAAAATGTACAACAAAAACACGATCAATAAAAACTTACCAGGTCGACATTTTCCTTCTTGATTTCCTCCAAGCTAATTGCTTTGCCTTCCGCCATTTTCTCTTTTGTTTTCTTTCACCAAAGACTAAACACTCATCTGCTCATACAGAAAATAAACACATACACACACACACATATATTAATACATATGTCTCTAGGGTGGGCACTTTTAGAGACACTCAATTTCCAGCAAGTTAGAACCCAGGTTTTTTTAATCTCAGTGGGCCAGGTCCTTAATCAATGGGGGGTCGAGTTTTTCTTCTCTGAAAATCACACACACTGTGTTGGTGTCTCTGAGGGAGGAATAATCGGTACTGTAAAGGTCTGAAAATCACACACTGCGGTGGTGTCTCTGAGAGGAATAATCGGGTACTGTAAAGGACTTGGACTGGGAGTTTGTTTTTATAACAGAAAAGGGCATTAGCTTTTTATGGAAAATGAGTAATTGGATGAAGGAGCGAGAGTTTTGGTCTGCTTTCTAGAGTTATAGCCCTGGTCATACGGCCAGTTAAAACTTAAAACCAGCTTCCTTACGCTCATTGCGCTTTTTTATTATTGTCTTAACTGCATGGCCCAATCAACTTCTGCGCCTTTTCACTGGTGGCAGTTTTCAAATTATTAACATATGATATGCGTCATAAAACTAACTAGTCGTATCCATCTTTCTTTAATCTTCCCCCTTTTCTGATTACAATTTACACGACACCAATTGAAGTCTGCCTAATAATTATGTAAAAATCGATGTGTCAACAAACATTACACGTATTTTGTTAGGAGTAGATAAACTAGTAATTTTCTTAGGCCAAATTGACGGGCTCGTTTGGATATACTTTTAAAATGACTGAAAGCGCGTTCTCTAAAAGCACTTTTAGTCATTTTAAAAGCACATCCAAACGTCCAGATCATTTTCTTGGGGATCCCGTGATCGTGACCGTTCATCGTACATCATGCGGTCAGTTTTCGTTAGGTACTATTTATATTTAATTTTAAATTTTAAATTTTGAATTTTGAAATGATTTCTAACCGCACGATGTACGATGAACGGTCACGATCACGGAATCCCCAGGATCCCCAAGAAAATGATCCGGTCATTTGGATGTGCTTTTAAAATGACTAAAAACTTTTTTAGAGAACGCGATTTCAGTTATTTTAAAAGCACATCAAACGAGCCCGTCAATTTGGCCTAAGAAAATTACTAGTTTATCTACTCCTAACAAAATACGTGTAATGTTTGTTGACACATCGATTTTTACATAATTATTAGGCAGACTTCAATTGGTGTCGTGTAAATTGTAATCAGAAAAGGGGGAAGATTAAAGAAAGATGGATACGACTAGTTAGTTTTATGACGCATATCATATATTAATAATTTGAAAACTGCCACCGAGTGAAAAGGCGCAGAAGGCGATTAGGCCATGCAGTTAAGACAATAATGAAAAAGCGCAGTGAGCGTAAGAGAACTGGTTTTAAGTTTTAACCGGCCGTATGACCGGGGCTATAGCTATAGCAAGCAGACCAAAACTCTCGCTCCTTTATGCAATTACTCATTTTCCATAAAAAGCTAATGCCTTTTTCCGTTATAAAAACAAACTCCCAGTCCAACTCCTTTACAATACCGATTATTCCTCCCTCAGAGACACCAACACAGTGAGTGTGATTTTTAGAGAAGATAAATTGGACCCTACATTTATTAAGCACCTAACCCACTGAGATTAAAAAATAGGGAACTTTAACGAAAAGCTCCCAGTACTGTTCACTTTAACGAAAAACCACATTTTTACACTAAAATGTCAATCCTGGTACTATTCACTTTATTCTTTACTTTGTCCTTATCGTGAAAACTCAAAGTTTTCAAGCTATTTTCATTAGTTATCCTTAAAAAAAAAACTGAGTTCTAACTTGCTGGGGATTGAGTTAACCTAGATTTTAATTTAAACTATCAACTAAATTAATTTTTTACTTTTATTTTTGTGCACATCTTTTCATCTAAAAACCCAATCTGAAACAAATTTCCTCATTGGACAAGGTCAAGGAAAGAGTAATGATGGTAACACAACAAAACTACAAGAACAAAATGTAACTAAATGGGCGATAAGGCGGAGACGGTGGACTTGCCAGTTCAGTGTTGAAAGAGAAGAGAGAGAGGCAGATTTTTTACGTGAAATTGAAATGGTTTCTGCTTCAAATTGGTTACAACTTTTTGATGAAAAATAATAATAACTGCATAAATTCCGAAAAAAAAAATCATTTGAAATTGAGAGATGAGAGAGGAAAGAGGAAAGAGAGACTAATTTTGACGTGAAAACAATTAAAAAGAAGAATAAATTATTAGCCGTAGGATATTCATCTAATGGCCATTAGTAAATTGGTTTGGAGGCTCCGCTTTGAAAACTCCAGAGAGGACCTGAGCTCTTGTGAATGCCCACGTAAACAAGCATGTGCAATGGAAGAATGGGAGTCAAAGAGTTTGGTATTTACTATTTTGGCGTATAGAATTTCAACATACAATATTTGATAATGTGAACTTTTGTAAGGTAAGTGTTCTATATAAAGAACATGCAATGTATGACAAACAATATAAGAGAAGATACGGAAGAGAGTGCATGAATAAAGAAAAGAAAGGCGAGAGAGAGAGAGAGAGAGAGAGAGAGAGGGGAGGGAGAAATAGTGAGAGTTATTGTGTACTCCTATTATTTCAAATAATAAAATAAGGTACTTCTGCTGGCCCCGAGGACGTAGGCACACTTGCCGAACCTCGTAAATATTGTTTCTTATTTACTTTATATTCCACTGCACACATGATGCGATGAAAGTTAAGCACTCAAATTAAACCCTCTTGTTGTCAAATTGTAGTATAAATGCAAATAGAGATCGTTCTAAACCGGGGATTAGGAGGGCTTGCTAAAACCTCTAAACTTACTCAAAAACATAAAAACAAAGTTAAAAACGTTTGAATAGACTCAAGGGACTCAAAACAGATTCTAAAGACTCAAAACTGCCTAAAAACACAAACTGGGCAGATTTGACTCTAACACAATTTTGGACGAATTTAGTGTTTGGGTTTGAATCAAAACACTCAAAAACACAAACAAAACTGAAATTTAACACTTTGAAACAAGAAAGTAAAATGGGGATTTTGGTTTTAATGAATTTGAAACAAACAAACAAGTTATAAAACTAGGCAGATTGTAAGACAAATTTGAGGAATACGATGATGGATGGATTAGTTAGAGGTCCGTTCTTCACACATGACACACCTGTGCATGAATCGATTTCCAATTGCTTTTCAATAAACTATGATGCTGAACACCCCAGATTAACCGTGATGCACAAATTAACCCTCAGATTTTCCTTTACTCATTGAATTGGATGAATGCATGCGACAACCCAAATCATTCTCTAAAAGTCCCCTATATGAATGCATAATATAGATACAATCAGATATCATTACGTTCAATGAAAATCATAAGTGTTGACGAGGCAATTATAACTATGAATGCATGATACAATTGCCAAGAATTCAATTAACGCGATTGTGATAAACAACCTTCACTACTCATGAATATAAACTTGTAACGATTAGGTGAAACTCATTTATATTCTAGCATCTAATTCATGCATAAAAACTAAGTATGCATCCTTAATACACATACAAGAATCAGTTATGAATAAAATAGATAATTGAATTGCAATCACAACTTATCAAATCACAATTGGAAGAAATCAATTCAAATCTCAAGCATGTTCATGGCTTCAAACTTCCCCCTAACTAAATAGGGGTTTAGCCACTCATAATTGCAACAAAATTAGAAAATAACAAAGTAGACATTGAAAGCAAGAACGAAGTACACCTAAAACGCTCCAAAGGTCCAAGCTTGAAACACCAAGGACCTTTGTTTTCACCACCTTGTTGTAGCACAAGTGTCTAGGATGTGTATGGATATATGGATGGAATGGATTTGCATGGCTAAGAGATGAAAGTGTATGGATTGGTGAGATGTAAAATGTAGTGTCTTTGGATGATGGCCCCTAAATTATGGTGAAGGGTGGATGTATTTATAGGCTACGGAGAGGAGTGTATGGAGTTGTAATGAGTGGATGTAATGGGTATAGTGGGTGGATGTTTGGTAATGAGTGGATGTAATGTGTGTAATGGATGAGTGTTTGGTAATGAGTGGATGTAATGGGTGTAGTGGGTGAGTGTTGTTGGGTGGTTGAAATGAGTGGATGTAGTGGTAGGTGAATGTGTTGGGTGGAATGAGTGGATGTGGTGGTAGGTGAATGGATGTGTTGGGTGAAATGAGTGGATGTAGTGGTAGGTGAATGTGTTGGGTGAAATGAGTGTGCTAAAATAGTTATTTATAGGGAGAGGATGATGCACAAACTTCAAATTTCGTCCATTCCTTTTGCTCCAAGCATATGCTATCCATTCCATGCCCAAAAATGTTCCAAAATGCTCCAAAATGCACTTATTTGCCACATTAACCCTTTGGACCTACAAACACACGAAAATAGCTTAAAATACTAAAATAACTACGAACTAACAACATAAATGCCAAGAAACAAGCTAACTAAGTCGCATAAATATGCTCCTATCAACACATATCCTCAATTTCAGAACACCAACTATATTTTCATGGGATGTGCTATCCACATACCCCTTTTTACTTCTCACACACCCCTTGTTAATTTATTTCCTTTGATATTTTTCAAGGAAAAGGATCCGGTGATCATGACCGTTTATCGTACATCTTGCGGTCATTTTTTGTTAGGTACTATTTATATTAAATTTTAAATTTTAAATTTTGAAATGATTTCTGACTGCACAATGTACGATGAACGGTTACGATCTGTTGGAAATGTGTCCTAAAGCCAATCATATGATGATATTTTACGGACATTTCACATGTTAAACTAATCTAGTTTAATATAAAGGGCAAAGATTATTGTTTAAAGCCGTCTCATATAAATGTTATATGCTTAAACGATAAGTCTAATGAATATGTAATTGGGAGAATGTGATCTAAAGAAATTAGATTCATGAGGCCATTCTCTTT